TTCTCCACATCCTTTTTGAATTGTGGAGCACAAAACTGGATGTAGTACTCCAGCTGCGGCCTCACCAAGTCCGAGTACAAGGGGAGAATGACGTCCCGGGATTTGCTTGAGAAGCATCTATGGATGCAAGCCAGCATTTTGGTCGCTTTACTAGCCGCAGCATCGCATTGCAGGCTCATGTTCGTCTTGTGGTCAATGATGACCCCCAAGTCTCTTTCTTCCATAGTGCTAGCCAGGGTAGCACTGCTGAGCCTATAAGGATGCTGCAGGTTTTTCTTCCCAAGGTGGAGAACCTTGTATTTTTCAGTGTTAAACACCATCAGGTTCTCATCCACCCATTTGCTGAGCCTGTCCAGGTCAGCCTGGATCACCCGCCTGTCTTCTGGCGTGGATGCTTTGCCCCAAAGTTTGGTGTCATCGGCGAACTTGGCCAGTCCACTCCTGACTCCAGTGTCCCCATCATTAATGAAGATGTTGAACAATATGAGTCCAAGGACAGAGCCTTGGGTTCTCTACCTTGTTTCCAGAATTTGAACCAAGGGAGGACTTTCCTTTCTCCTTTTTGTGTAGTATAGCTATGTATACTTGTATGCTTGTAATAATACATGCAATAGCAGAAGCGGTTCACAAACAGGAACTAAAATCCCATTTTCAAGTTGCTCGAAGGGGAATTCTTCCCCAAACACTTAGAGGAACCAGCAGATGTTATGCCTCCTTCATACGTTGCTAGCCTGAAATAAACTAAAGAATATGCTCCAAGATGTTTGCTTAAATAGTTAATCTTTCTAGAAAAGATTTGGGTAAGTTAAGTGGAAAAATAAGGCATTATGGAGATACTGAACAAGAAAAAGAACAAGAAACTATTATTTGAGAAAAAGTTTATATTATCTGTACATAATAATGGGTTCTAGGTTGGCCATAGGAGACATGATATGCAAGTGACCATGCATTATAGAAGTCAATTTCAGCTGTATTGCCAAAAGAAAAAAAGCAGGCAAAGTGTTTTTAGAACTGTAAAAGTGTCAATACTAGATTAATGCATGCCCTGCAATACCAATGAACTAAAGGAATAGGACTCTAAATAATAGCAAGCAAATGGCAAAATCGCAAAGTCTACTTGTCATAAATGAGAAAAGAAGTGATACACTAATGAATTTTTCATAAAATGTCCCAGTTTTCTCTTCTGTTGGACTAGATCCCATTTCATTATATCCTACTTGCTCCCATCCCATCTATCTTTTAAAAAGCAATCAAGTTTATTCTCTGTCATTAGCTGCTATGATTCAGGGCCAATTTATATCAATTTCAGTTTCAACATAAAAGATTCTCATCTCAGTTACACAGTTTATTTGGGAGGGTATGGGGTGAAGAAATGTTAACTGGAATTTAAAAAAAACCCATCCAAATCATTCTTCCCCCATTATTGCCCCAAAAGGACAATGGCTCAACCATGTTTAGTAGCTGCTACTAAGCAGTTCTTTCAGTATACATATCTTTGTGGGTTTTTTAAAAATAAATTGCATTTCTTTTGTGGCTGAAGGCACCTTGTGTCAGGCCTCACAACACACACAAGTATTTTCTTCTTTACAAAATGAAGTAACAGAACACAAATGATCACTAGTGAACAACTTCCTGCTGATCTGGCCTGTGATAGCTAAGAGAATCTGGAATATATACTCAGATGTATGTGTTTTTTCTTGGAAAGGACAGGAAAAAATCACACCTATTTACAAAACATTCAAGATCATAATCAAAATAAATGAAATTAAATACAATTATAAAAAAAATTTTTTTTTTGAAGTGATGGCAAAAACAATGGAGCCAAGTAACAGGAGTGTGCATAGTTCTGTATATGGTAAAAATACACAAAAAGAAGCAACTCATTTAATTAAGAATGGTATAATTAGTCCTCAACACAAACAAGGAGCATAGGCCTGGCATAGACCTCCATTTTATTCCATTGAAGACAAACATCATGGTCTGACTCGTCTGTGGCTGAAGAAGCTAGTGTTGCTATACAGGGGCATTGTTGCACTGAGAGATCTAAGAGTACTTAGGGGTTTAATGATTCATCATCTAAAGGCAGTGTGGCACTTCTTGATGGTCACTCTAATCCCATCTCTTCCATTGTCCTGTTAATGCAGTTCCCCTTCAAAAGGCTGTCCCCCAGTACACCAGAGTAAGACAGGTGTTAGCTATTGGCTCATCTCTGTTTAGTCCATGGGGCACTTTCAGCCTAACTAACTGTCCCCAGTTAGGGATCTATCCTTAGTCCCAGCTAATAGTCCTCTGGGGTCTCAATCATCACTCCCATTTGAGAGTCCCAAGAGTCCCATTTGTTCCCAGTCCCCCTTTGTAATGGTCTTCCATCAACTACAGCACCTGCCGTCTACGCACCCTCAGTAGCTTCCTTCTACCCCTTCAGCCGCTACCCAAGCCTTAATTCCAAATGGAACAAGGAGACACAATTAATTGCAGTTGGGGTGATCTTCTGCAAGCCTCCCCCAGGCTCCTCCCCTTGGCTTCTGAGCACTGGCCCTCCTAGACCTATTCAGAGTTCACTTCATCTCCCGTACTGCTTCTTGGCTTTGTCTAAGGAGTGCTTTCTGCTTGTATAGCTTCAGTCAGTCTCCAGTTCCCAGCATTGCTTCACTCAACTCCCAGCACAGAGCTCCTGCCTCCAACTCTGCCCATGTCAGACTGCCCTCCTCTGCCTCTGGTGCTGAGTTTACAGTCCCACAGCCTGTCTCTTCTGGCTTCTCAAAATCTTGTCTGAAAGTCCAAGCCCTCACTTTCTCCATAACGGGGCAGAGTCCTCTGTTACACACCTACAGGGGTAGATCCAAGGGGTGCACTAATGCACCCCACCCCCTTTGATTCTTAGTCTACCCAAGGTTTAAAACCAACTGTCTGGCAGTGGCAGTAGCATTTTCAGACAGGTACTGCAGAGGGTGGTAAATTGACTTCATGGCTCATTATAATCTACTAAATACCTTCCAAACTCTTCATTCCACAACTGTTAACAACCTTTTCTTCTTTCTGATGTTCTTGATGTTCCACCAATAAGCTATCCTTTGCTCTGCAATTCTGCTGTCTGTTACCTGCTCCTGGTAATGAAGCTCCTATTTCACAGCCCTGCAGATTGTTTTTAACTCATTTCGATAAAAGTTATTTTTGTGTTTGCTTCAATCTTAAACTTCATAAAACAACTCTAGGCCCCTAGCATGTTTGTAAAGCTTCTGTTTTATTTTTTTAACTGGATAAAAACATGTGTTGTTTTGTATGTGATGATGCACCTCACCATCTGCACCCCCCCTTTTCAAAATTCTAGATCTACCCATGCACACCTACATATCTTTCTAGATCTGGGCGTCTGTCTGCAAAGGACAAAAACTGATACAAGTCTCTGAAGATGCTGGGGACCGCACAAAGAAACAATAACTTCTACAGGAGTATAGCACAGACTCATCCCAGCACCATCCCATC